CTGGCCTAGGAACGTTTGGCCGTCGTTGTTCATGACATATTTCACATTGAAGGTTCTTGGCAGCCTTGATCAACTCGGGAGAAGCGCCTGAGATGGCGAGGGCCTTTGCCAAACGCAGCGGTGAGCGATGTCCAGTGTTCTGGTGAAGCCTCAGCACTGCTTGCTTCTGCGCCTTTGTCGGCTCATTGGCCTGCTCCACGGCCTCACCAAGGTCGTCCATCAGGTCAAAGTCATCCTCATAGGGCTCGACAGGCATGGGGTCCGCTTCACCAGAGGGCTCATCGCCATTCTCGCCAAAGAAGACCTCGAACTGGCGGTTGCCATCCACCTCATATTGACGTTCAAGCCCTCGAATGAAGGCTTTCGCCAAGTCTGGAGGGTATCTGCCAGCCAGTCTTGCAGTAGAGCCTCCGATCACGTGCTCATGTTCATGGTCACCAGTGCAATGGCAGTCTTGAAGTTCCTTGTAAACCTCCTCTGAAGACGTCAGGATCCAGGTGCGTTTCCGATGAAGTCCTCCTCCAGGGCCTGTCAGCCCAAACTTGCACTGATCCAGTTCGACGCTGAAGAGGAAAGGTTGCTCAGAAAGCTTCTTCAACGATGGAACTTCGAACCAAGCTGCTGAACGAGAGGGGTTCTCGATGATGAAGTGGTGACCACGTTCCATCTGCTTCTTTGCAAGCCTCACCGCAAAGTCAACCAGCTTCTTGCGCTTCTTGCGACGCCATCGGAGAAGAGCAGCTCGATGGCGGTCATTTGAACGAAGGGCTTGCAAGGGACTCCATGGTCCACAGGGGAACGCAATGATCTGAGCGTAGGGATCATTCTCCTCCACGGCTAGGAAGGCAAGGTCTTGGTGCTTGTCCTTCATGAAGTCATAGCCGGTGCGTAAGGTCATACTTGGCATTGTAGTGTGACCTTTCAATTCAGCTTGCTTCTTCACGTGCTCGGAGTCAGTGAACGTCTCTCCGAGGAAGGGGCCGCGTCTCATGTAGTTCAAGGCGGCTGCAAGCACATCATGATCAAAGTCAGGAACTTCTGGGAGGTTGAGCTGTCCCAGAAAACATTGGTCTTCCCCATTGGCAATGGCCATCTTCAGGTCATACTCCGACTCCTCCAGAGCCTCTTCGACCTTGTTGAAGTCAACGCTCAAGGCATCATGTAATCGACGAAGACGGAGAAATCCTTGATGCACGGTCTGCCTCAGGCCGTTCTTGAGCTTGTCGAAGGTGCCTTTTGCCAAGGTGCCAATGCTCTGCCTCACGGCAGATCGTTGAACTCCAGCCTCTCCCCGTCCTCCATCCCATCCAGAGCTGAGATCTCCTGAACGCCGGCTGCGAGCACCTTCTGAGTCTCCTTCCAGGCTTCTTCCTCCATTTGTAGATGGAAAGAAGGATGTCTCGCTCATTGGACTGTCCGGCTGCTGGGAATGGGTGTCCCAAGCTTGGTGATCTGCTCGGGGTTCTTGGAGGCGATGGTGACGAAGCTGATGCTGTTGTAGTCCATAAAGAACCTTGTCGGCCTCGGGGGAAGCAAGGTCCACAACTTGTGACGTTGGAGCTGCTGTCAGTTTGTTGGCCTTCGGCTTCACTCCCGCTGCTTGGGATGTAGAGCGAGGAGCTTCTGGGGCCTGCCAGTTGGGCTTGCCGATGAGGTCTCTCACGATGGGACGAAGAAGCTGCCGCAAGTCCTCCACCTTGGCATCCGGCGGTGCATTGGCTTGAAGCAGCACTGCCGCCTTCTGCAGCTCTTCTTTGAGCTGAGGCAATCCTCCTCTTGGCCCGATCAAGGCGCGCAGCTGAAGTGTCCGTTCTTCGCGGCTCAACCCCAGGAGTCTCTGAGTTTCTGCCGCGGCTGCGGCTTGGATCTGCCTCCTGGGCTTCTTCTTCAGTGCGATCAGGCCGAAGACGATGGCTTCGTCCTCTTGGAATGCCATCAGCAGTCCCATGCGATCTCGAAGGTGCGCGGCTTCTTTGAGATGAGCCGCAGTGATCTCTCCTCTGCGACCCACCGTCGCAAACCATGACATCGGCCAGGCTTGCCGATTCACCATATCCACCATCTGCTGCTCCCATGCCTCCACCGTCGTGACTGAGGGCAGTGGAGGTGCCAGAAACCGCAGATGCGGTCGCTGGATGAGCCATAGCAAGATCCCGCGCCAATGCCACTGAGTTCGTTGGCGAAGTCGAAGCACCATGCGCTGCCATCGACATGTAGCTCTCTCCGGAGGCTGACGGCACTCGATGGGGATCCGCGGCGGCATTCCACGCCGAGCTCGAGATTGCTGGTTCCAAAAACACTGCAGAAACGAAGTGCTCAGTGACACACGTCTCAACAATCTCGACCGGCTGCGAAGCTCGAAGTTTCTTCAAAAACCAACGTTGTTTGCTGGGGACTTGAAGTTCGATGCAATCACCTTTTCCAACCTTGATCCATGGAAGTTCATCTTCAGGGGGCCAAACAGAAAGTGGAGTGGGCAAACATGGCAAACTGAAATGACCAGCTCGCAACTTCCGAAGGTGAATCCAGTGACCAGGGGCCAGGAGTTGAAACTGAACCTTATTGTTCATGAAGTCCATAAGGGCCCCAAGAGCATCCAAAACGTCCTTTCCCAACAGGAGGCCAAGGGAATCGCAGGGGACAATTGAGATCCACATCAAAACCATTTTGTTGCCAATGACGAAGGGCAAACGAATGCGCTCCTTGCTCGTCAAAACTCCCCCATTCCCAAACCTGAACCGTTCATGTTCTGGAACTCTTTGGATCTTGTCTTGTACGGACATAGGTGCTTTGTGGAGGGCCTCCTCAGTCAGTCTGATCCATTCAGCTCCAGCGCATGAGCGGTTGCATGCACTGTCCAATGCAGCTTGCAAAACTTTATCTTCTGCCAGCGACGGGGTTGAGCTGTGCATTGACAACAAGGCCTCTGACAGACCGAGGCATTCATTCACAGCGACCTCATGGATCTCGGGATCCGGGTCAAAGACAACCTCCTTGATCGGGGGCAAAAGATCAACAACATGCACTTCGGCAGCGGCATTGGAGCTCTTGGCCTCTGCCACATGGGACTCTTGTGGTCGTTTGCCACCAAATTGCTTCAGCGAAGAGGCCAAGCGTCCTCCTTTCTTTCCACTCTTGCCCTTGCCACTTGCAGGACATTCAGCATCGCCCTTCCAGTGACCTTCTTGTCCGCAGGCATGGCACGTACCTGCTTTGGGCTTCTTCGGACCTGTAGGTGAAGGTGTCGTGGATCCAGGTCCTTTGAAACCTCTATCTTTCCGCATGCTCGCAATTTGAGAACGAGCTTCACGAAGGGTCACCAGGGCTTCAACAGCTCCATCAAGCTGTTCCTCAAGCTGCTCCAACTCATTGGCGTCAACGCCTTCCTGAGCAGCGGCTTCAAGTTCAGCCGCCAAAACTTCTACTTCTTCTTGGAGCACTTGGAGAGGGTCGGCATCAGGTCGACCATCATCTTCCCATCCGCCAGCGTCACCCTCATAGGCCTCATACAGGTCGGTCTCCTGCTCGTCAATCTCATAGCCATCAGTTTCAGTGGCGTTCACTGCTGATGCACCAAGGCTCATTCGAGTTGAGCCTTTTGAACAACCACTTGCGCCAGTCGAGCCACTAGCGGAAGAGCTCGTTGATGCAGGCCTCCTCCATGAGTTGCCCTTGCCTGAACCAGGGCGAGGTTGAGGGCGCTTCCAAGGCGCTAGTGAGGAAGGTGTAGTTCCAACAGCACTCATGTGAAGCCTTTTGAACAGGCGCACAGCTTCACGTTCACATTCTGCATAGGTCTCTGAAGTGCTGGCCAGGGTGGTTTCCAAGAGTTGCTTTTGCACTTCAGTCAAACAAAGCTTTTGCTTAAAAAACCAAGCAGCTTCAGCATCATCCAGCTGGATGCCCTCCGAGCGCATCTCGGCCACCAAGGTGCGGTAGCGCAAAGCAAATGAAACAACTGCTTCAGAAGGGCCACGTTTGAAGGACATGTAAAAGCGCTCACGCAATTCGCCCTTCTTGTCATTCAGGGTCTTGCCGACCATGCTTTCCCAAGCATCTATGAGCTTCCAGATGCCGATGGCATAGTCAGCCTCCTTCAGCACCAGGCGGTCGCCATCCGGATTATCCGGATCTTCGATGGACTCCTGGGGGACATAGGCCAGCTCATCAGGGGTGAACTCCAAGGCACGAAGTCGGGCAGAACCTCGTTGCTTCATCGCGAACCTGGCAGCCAAGTTGAAACCTTTTGTCTTGGACAAATCTATGGAGGATAGCCACCAGGTCACCGTGCGGCGGAAATCCCTCAAGGAATCCGCTCTTCCATCCCATATTGGAATGGATGCATCAAAACCAGACTCGCTCCAGCCGCCAGCATAGCCATGACCTTTGTCATCATGGCCCATCGCTTCTCATGCAAACATGCAAAAGAGCTCGTTCAGCACGTCGTAGGTGATGTTCACGAAGTTGGCCTCAGGTCAACTCAGACCGCACAGGTCCAGGGGTGTTCAAAGGCTTTGGATCACGGCGGATCCAAGGCAAGTCGGACCTCGGCGGGCCCGGTGCAAAGCAAGCAAACTTGCCACCGAAGAGGTCAAGCGTCTCTGTCCCTGACTCGGCGGTGCAGTAGACAGCCGAAGAGCTCGACCGGGGAGTAGCGCAGCAGCCTTCAGCGAGGCTCAGGAAAGGCACCAGGAACGTAGCCAGCTCCGCGGTACCACTATGGAAGCTATGGGCGTATGAACTCGAACGAACAGGGGTCGAACGGATCGTCGGCTGCAAAGCTTCGGTTTCTCGCGCCAGAACAGCTCAAGGCCTTTTCGGCCAGTGCATACACAAGTCGTGTACATGCCTGAAAGCAAGAACGTTCACATGGATGGTTTTCCTCAACATTTGTCATGTCAAGTTGCTAGGCACATTTCGCAGGAACAAGGAATTGCAACCTCTTACCTCTAATTCTATACGCCTTTGCTAGAAAACACCACCTACGGCTTGCTGACTGTGGCACCAAATCGCCATAGCCCACTGCCGTGATGGTGGAGGCCGCCCACCACATTGAGGCCTTAGGATGCGATTCTCCCAGCTTTCAAATTCCCGAGATCTTGTTCAAATAAATATATATATGTTTCAAGAGATACAGCTCTTGAGATCGGTCCTTGTCTCTGCGGACACAACAGTTTGCGAGAACAATGTGCGAACAAGCCTATGCATCCTAATGGCGTGTTTGGGATAGAGCAAAAGTTTGCGCAATGACAGGAATGCCTTGTATCACGGGACAGTCTCCGGGGGACGACCAGGGACGACCTGCAGCTGGGATGCAGGAATAGATGTAAATTTGGTCTCGTCTCCCATCTCGAAGATATAAGCCACAGTGCTTGAGAGGATGGTCCCTGCAGCAGCTTCTTTTCTCTCTCGACTTTGCATCCGAAAAAGTGATTGCCAAATAAAGAAACATGGCAGATCTTGATATATGACTTGTCATGTGAAGCTCTCTTCAAGTCAAGTACATTTGTAGGACAGCCTAACCTCAACCAGAGGGAGACAAGACAGTCTTGCCATTCAATGTTGGTTGTCAATTGCTGAGCAATTCCAAGCCCACACCGCACATTCGCCTACCGTGGTGAACGAGATTAAGACCAAAATGCCCTGCAAAGACCCGTAGATGGACCGCAAGACCACCTGGACAGTAGCAGTGGCTGTAGATGAAAAGAGCTATATAAATGAAAAGACTCACGAAGTCAATGGCAATACTTTCAATGGAAGAATCACAGAGTCAACACTTTCCAAAGCACTGAGGCAGAAGGCCCCCATGGTTTGATCGCCGTGTAAAGCAAGCTAAGCTTTATCGGCTCTTCTCATCCAAGGTAGAGACATGACAGAACGCAGAATATGGGTGCCTTTTTTTCGGGGGATTGGCCGCTAGTAGAAGAGGTAGCTAGTAGAAGAGAGGTTGCTAGTAGCTTAAGTAGCTACTAGCTACTGGACGCAGGATAGCTCACGCTATGCATGTGGTTCCTAGATGTTTAGGAGCTTAACTTAAAGCGATGGCCTCCAAGCTAATAGCGGCCTGAGGAAAAATTGCCAATTGCAAATCAGGGCCGCATTAATCATCTCCCATTGACGCATCGTGTTGGCCACGCGCAGCACGCGGAGCAGCCGGACAATGCGCATCAAATCTGCCAATCGAATCGCTCGCAAAGAATTCATGCTGATGATACGCTTGTGCTTCTCTGCCTGAAGAAGATGTCATGGAAGTCATGGTTACGTGTGAAAGATGGACAACATTATCGTCATTGCAGTCAACCTTGGCTTTCACTCGTCCTAAGCCCCATGCCTGGGCCATTTTGGAATCTGCATTAGACAGCAGCAAGGGCAGCACGATGTCAATGTATCCCGGCAAGGTTGCCTTTGAGCAGTGCCAAGTTAAAAGCACGTTCCAGAACCCCAATGAACCCCAATCTCTTCCCCTCCCCATGCTCAAGTTCTCCCCAAATCAATATGCCGGGCTGATACGCCTTGCTGCCAGCTGCTGCCAACTATCCGGGACTAAGACTAACGAGGATTCTATTCACATCTCACACTCCTCTTCCCACAGCACCAGCTACTCAGCCAAGGTGCCAGCAAATCAATGATGCTGAAGGGACTGGAAAAGAAATCCCAGTTGCCTCAACACTCAGCCTTCCGATGTTTTTTGCCTTCTTCGGTTCTTGGACATGGGTCAAAGGTTTATAGGAAAACAAAAAGAAATGTAAGGGTTCTTACCTTCCAATTGTTCTTCTCTCTTCCTTGTAGTTCTACCATTCAATTATGTTCAAACACGTGGTCCTTTTGTCCAAATTCAAGACTTCCATAAAGAGTTACTCCGGAAGTTGCCACACAGTGCAAAGGGTCCTTCATAAGCCAAAAGAACGCAAAAGAAGCAGAAGAAGCACTTGGTTCATTCAAACACTTGGTAGACAAAATTTTGTTTGGGCTACTTTCCTTAGTCAAGTTTTCTCTTGCTTTAAACTCTTCAAAGTCCTCAAAAATAAATATATATCTGTAAAAAAATGCCGGCAGTGCCTTTTGTTGGCTGCAAGTCACGAAACCCGAAAAATCCTAGCAGAAAGCCAAAGACCTTGAACCCTGAACATTTGGCCAAAGTGTAGCTCAAAAGGTTCCTAAAACATAATTAATGACGCACTCACCAGAATTGGGGGTCGTTCTACTACATCACTTGGTGTCAGAAAATGGGTGCCCATCATTTCATGTTGAAATTCACACTAACGTAAAAATTGCCAGGCGGCTTAGAAGGAAAACATGATAGTTCTGAACCCTGCCACATCATTCCAATCAAAATGGTGTCATGATCAGAAAACGCTGCAGGAATTCCAGAAAATCATCCGTGGTTTGCTCATTGTTGCCCGCGGTATTTTTGAGTTCTGAGATTACTAAATGCGGAGATATAGGAGCTGAGACGCTGTCCGAGATCCACCAGCGCATAGAGATTTCGCAAGTGAACACAGCAGTGAAAACTGGCTCCATCAAATGAAAGATCAGCTCGTGTTCCATATCGGGTATCGTCTCGCAAATGGCGCAGGTCACCTGCAAGTTTCCACCTTTGAAATTGCCACCAATCCAAATGCATATGGTCATCCACTCAAGTCGGTAACACGGAATGGGATACAGTAATTACTTCTTCAAATTCAGTGTCACACAGAGCGAACTTGTTTACAAAAAATGCATGGGGCACGGGGCACAACCTGAAAGAACATGTCTGACTAGCTACAGTAGTTTGTTTCTGCTTGTGTGTCCACGCTTCATCACAATCAAGGAGCTGCAGCCATGATCACAATAAACATCGTGTATTGAATAAAGGCTGCCCCGCGACCGCTAGCAGGGTTCCTCAGAGCAAGTTTCAAGAATGATATCCAGTGATAGTTTGAACAAAGGAAGCTGACAAGGCAGCCGTGCACCGCTCCGAAGATTAAGCTCTTGCGAGCAAGAACAATGATGTGAGCGCAAACATATTTGCTTGCGCCATTGCCTCCTCAAAATGAACATTGGACAGAAGGATTGAAAATAGTTTCCCGCTTTTCCCTAGGTAGCGCGAGCTATTGGCGCTCTTACACTTCAAGTAGGAAGAGGTGCCCGTGTGCGCTTTGGAGCCTGGGCGCCGGTGCCGCTGCAGGGTGCTGCTGCTAGATGCGGCTGTGTGCGCTAGACCTTCGGTGCTGGTGGTGCTGCATGACGCCGCTGCCAAATGTGTGGCCGCATGCGCTTTGGTGCCGCTATCGGCTTTGCTGGCGCTGCTGCAGGGCGTCCCTGCTATGGTGCGGCCCAAAAAATCTGGCCAGGGGCCTGTCATTGAGCCTGGCACTGGCTGTGTTCTCCTGAAGGGTCAGAAAGGGGCTTCCGCCCTGCCGCCGACCCACTTGCGCCCCAGTGCTTTGCGCGCGTGATGTTCAAAAGCGCTGTGTTTTAGGGTTTTTGCCCCTTCGGCCGCCATGGATTTCATATTGGCGATGTTAAAGAAACCTCTGCTTTTACGCGGTTTTGGTCTCGTAGAGGGTCCGGAACGGAAAATGTCGCATCTTAAGAGTACGTCAACATAAATGGCGCAAAATACCCCAAAAAGCCCCGGGATCGGCCAACATAGCCCCAAGATGGGCCAACATAGGCCCAAGACCGGCTCAACATGGGTCCAAGATAGGCCAACATAGGCCCAAGACAGGCTCAACCGGGGCCCAAAATGGCCCAACATAGGCCTTAGCTCGGCCAACATGGCCCAAGCTGGGCCAACATAGGTCCTAGATTCCTAGATGGCACAACATATCACCAAAATTGTCTCAACATCGCCCCAAGACCGCCACACATAGCCCAAAGATGGATTCGACCTGGCTCCAATACCCCAACCACAACCAGAACCACCGCCACCGCCACCACAACAAACAACAACAACAACAACAACAACAACAACAACAACAACAACAACCACAACCACAACGACAACGACAGCAACAGCAACAGCAACAGCAGCAGCAGCAGCAGCAACAGCAACAAAAACGACAACACCAACACCAACACCAACAACAACAACAACAACAACAACAGCAGCAGCAGCAGCAGCAGCAACCACACAACCACAACCACAACCACAACCACGCAGCCACGCAACCACCCAACCACACAACCACACAACCACACAACCACAACCACACAACCACAACCACAACCACAACAACAACAACAACAACAACCACAACCACAACAACAACAACAAAAACAACAAACACCACCACCACCACAACAACAACAACAAACAACCACAACCACCACCACCACCACCACAAACACCGCTGCCACACCCACCAAACCCACCATTGGCGCCACCGTCCCCGCCTTCCTCTCCAGACTTGCGCCCGGCACTGGCCGTGTTCTCCCAAAGGGTTCTCTCCCTCCGTAGGAGAGAGGGGATTGCGCCCCTGCCGCCGACCCACCACCGACCCACCTGCGCCCCTGTGTTTTACAGCATTTTCTGCGCGAGGCGTTCAAAAACACTATGTTTTACCAGAGTTTGCGCGCGTGCAAGATCAAAAGTTTTTGCGGCGGGGAAGCGCCAAAACTGTGGTGTTTTACGAGGGTTGCGCAAGTTACGTGCGCCACGCGGGGTTGCATAATTGGCGCAAAATGTACCCCAAAATGGCCCAACAGGTCCACAAGATGACCCAACATAGGTCCAAGATGGGTCAACATAGCCCCAAGATGGGCCAACCTAGGCCCAAGATCGGCCCAAGTTCAAAGGTACGTCTACTCGGCGTCCTGAGTTGATATCACAGACCAACGCAAGCGTCTTGTTGGCGCCGGAAAGAGGAAAACAAAGGTGTGTGAAAAGGGAACCAAATGGAGGGGGCACGCCAGACCTCATTAGAAAAACCTAGACAACAACGCCTCATTTAAGTGTATACGCTGCGCGTGTGCGCCTGAGAGGGCGACAGGTTCCACTGAACCTTGAACAAGCTTGGGTCGCTGCGACCACCTCGCGGCGTTAAGCCTGCTTGGACCGCTGCAGTCACGTTCTGGCATTGAGCCTACTCAACTTCAATAATTCAGCAAGTCTTGGCAAATAACTTTGGCATAAGCCTCCTACGCTCGCTGCGAGCTGCTCTGTATCCGGGCAGGAGATACGTTCGACAAACCCCCGTTCGACGGGTCCACAGGGGCCACTCTGCGGGGTCACCCTGGGCTCGCACGAGGAGAGACACACTTATTGAAATGCGTACTGATTTGGTTGCGGTTTGCCACACGCCAGCCTAAGTGAAAAACCTAAGAAGCCAGGTAAATTAAAAACGGTAATTCCACGAATCCTCCAAAGCCTCTAAAAGCAAGTTCAAGTTCGGGCCCCAAGCTCACGAAATTAGCCCTTTACCGCAGAGATACTAAATGCAGAAACAACGCATTGGACAGCTTTGGCCGCGCTTAGGTTCTCAAAAAGCAGGTGCACAGATTGGCGTCCCAATCTGCATGAGGGAATATCCAAAGGTGTCTTCGTTGGCAGCAGAACTGTGGACTCCCTGCTGCCCCCTGTATAACTGGAACAACCTTCAAGAACAATCCTAAAGGATCCCTGTGATTCCAAGGGTTACGCACACACTTGCCTTGTCTTGTCTTGTCTTGTCTTGCCTTGTCTCCTTCTCACGCCTTCGCCTTTTTGCCCTTTCTGCGTGCACACACGCACATTGGTCTGCCCCTTAGCTTTTGGGCCCCCCCTCGGGGGGCGTGTGTGTGTGCGCGGAACCATTGGAATCATGCGTAGGGAATCGGTTGATTTTGTTTTTAATTTCGACTCGCATAGCAGGGGCTGCGGGGGGGGCGGTGATGAGACCGGCGCTAACAAAGACGCTCATCAGTTACCTGTGATACAGTTGGAAACGTCCAACTGCGCACCTGCAGTGTTGTGACTTTCACTTCCTCCGTGGCCGCGTTCATAACTAGAACAAGACTTTGGCCATTGCAGCGGTCATACTCTCGGCAGTCACGCATGCGTCGTTTTCATTGGAGTTGGAGGCCTTTAAGTTTCGATGATGTTCCGACCACCTTACTTCTACATGTCCTGGTTCCTTAGGCGTTCACTTAGGCTGGCGCGCGGCAAACCGCAAGTCGTGTCAGTACGCATTATCTCGACCGAGTGTGTGAAACCTTGGAATGACAGGGAAGCTTTCGATTTCACTAGCAGGGCGTGCCAGGGATGCACACTGGACAGTCGCACCTGTGAGTTCGATTTGGGACGCCAAATCGACGCGCCTGCTTTATGGAACTGTTGCCCAAGCTCTTACTCCAATCTTCCATAAAGGGCTAATGCATTCTGTGGATGTGGGCGATCGTCGTGATTTCGTCCTCCCGTTGTTTCGCTGCCTTTGGGATTTTGACCTTTTGGCCTCCTAATGACTAGCGATGGTGTCAAAGATGTTCAAGCTCCTTACATGAGTTTCTCAGGATTGTGGTTATCTAGGTCGCAGTGGCTGTCATTTCCGAACAACTTCGCCAGAGTGTGTCTCGCCCGAACGAGTGCCCTCCGTGGCCTTGCTAAGCAAGGGTTCTTTTTCCCCTTGCTTGGGCAAAGCAATCACTTTGTTTCTTGAGCAGGTTGAATGGCCCATAGGCTGAATGCCAGGAGTAGGCCACAGCGGCCGTAGTTCTCTGAAGACCCAATCTGTCAGAGCCTTTGGTGCACACACTGTATGCACACAAACCAGGCTACTTCCACCTAGGTTCATTCCAACGAAGTGCGGCTTCGCATTTCCGGCCCTTCATTTGCTTCCCCCTTTCATCCTTTCTTTCCCCACACACACACGTTCTTTGTCCTCTTTCTTTTCATGTCTTTCCTGGCTTCATGTTTCGTCATCTCATCCTTTTTCCCTTTTGCGCACACACTGGTCCGAACCTTAGTGCACACGTGCACCCATACACGAAACCAGGTCTGAGGTCGCCCAGGTTGTGGTAGGTATGGCTCAACTGAAGGTTCCTGGTCCCTTGGTTCCTTTTCACCACAGCCACATACACTGTCCTGCCTTGTCTTCCTCTCATGTCTTCATCTGTTTGTCCTTTCCGCGCGCACACCTTAGTCTGGACCCTAGCTTTAGATTTTGGCCCCCCTCCACGGGCGGCGTTTGTGTGAAACCCTTGGAGTCGCCAGGGGTGCACACTCGACCAACGAAGACGCCAGTGTCGCATCTGTGAAATTGATTTGGGACGCCAAATCGATGCACCTGCTTTATGGAACTGTTGTCTAAGTTCTTACTCCAATCTTCCATAAAGGGCTAATGCATTCTGCGGATGTGAGCGATCGTCGTCGTTTCGTCCTGTCGTCGTTTCGCTGCCTTTGGGATTTTGACCTTTTGGCCTCCTAATGACTAGCGATGGTGTCCAAGATGTTCAAATCCCTTACATGAGTTTATCAGGGTTATGGATACCTAGGTCGGCGTGTGGCAAGTGGCTGTCATCTCCGTACGAATTATATATCCCGAGTGTGCGCTCGTCTTGCTTCTTTTCCTTCTTTTTGAGGGTGGGGGTAGGCCGCTATAGGTAAGCTGTAAGCTTATTAAGTAGCAAGAGGTAAAATACTAGCTGCTGGACGCAGGATCACTCACGCTTCTATTCATGTGGTTCCTAGATTCAGGGAACCTTAACAACACCGACTAAGTTTTTGCATACCAAGTATCTCAAGCATGACTTTGACCCTGGCGCGGCAGTCTTCAATGCTCACTGGCATGCTCGGCTGTGAGTCCTCAAGTAGGATACAGCGTCGGAAGAGCCACTACACCCGGTATTCTAAAGGGATCGATGATTGGAAAGAATTGCGCGCTTCTTTCTTATACGTTATCAAAAGCACAACGGTTCAGGCCAGGCCTTGCTGCTTCTTGAACGGCTCAATTACTTTGGATGTTGTGAGTGCCAATGTGAAATAAAGTACTGATAATTATTAAATTATGTAACCTTCAACAAACGAGACAAAGAAGGTAAAGCCCCTCTAAATCGCACAATTTGTTGATTCATCCAGTACCGATCGGTACGGTACATCTTCTTATTTGCGGCAGCGGAGATCCAAAGGAGACATTCTGACCTTCAAATTCTTGCGAGTCTCCCAATAGCCTATATACGTATGCCTAAATAAGAGTTCCCTATCCAGAAACACTGTGGGCAATACCTCATGCGATGATGTGACTTGGTCAAGAAACCCAGACTGATGGACTCCCTTGGATTGACACCTCAAAACGACGTTCAGAACTTCTCAACAGTCCTCAGCTTCCAGGGGCATCTCCTCTGCCTGGTCAGCGATTTCCACCCGCGTGGGGAGCGGGAGATATAAGCCACGATTTGGCTCCTGGCACACTCCCTTGAAAATCAAACTGCAAGTTAGGCTCACACCGTCCATCCAAATTGCTTCACAGAACCTTCTTTAATGGACCCCCAAATTTCCACCTCGATGGATCTCATATGATAAAATATCAGAAGGCAGCGTTGCGCGAGAATGTGGAGTTGATGGCCAAGAAACACTACATGGGGGTTGTTCAAAAGTCCTTTCATTTGTTCCAGGCCTTTCGCAGGACCTTCGCGAAGCTTTCGCAAGCTTTCGCGCGTGGGGTTTTACCACTGTCGGCGAAAATGGTTTCTCGTTGGGGCTAGAGGCTTTCAAGGATAGTTGCCCTGGCGCGTCTTGTGTCCTCTGATCACTGACACATTGATTGCTGAGGAACAGGAAGCCAGCGAACCAAGACATTTTCATGTTGGTGTGTTTTTGGCTGGGCGCAACCCTCCATGAACAAGAGAGGGCTCAGTCAGGCCAGTTTGCTCAGACTTCCAATTTGCTTTTTCCCGGCCCGGGAAAAAGCAAAATGGTTCAGACTTCGAATTTGCTTTTTCCCAACCCGGGAAAAAGCAAAATGGTTCAGACTTCCAATTTGCTTTTTCCCGGGGCCGGGAAAAAGCAAAATGGTTCAGACTTCCAATTTGCTTTTTCCCCGCCCGGGAAAAAGCAAAATGGTTCAGACTTCGAATTTGCTTTTTCCCA